GGGGGGGACCGCTGCTGGAGTATTTTAATGGAGGAGGGGTCTGTTCTGTCGTGGGTGGGGAAGAAAGGGGGATTTTAAATTGAGGTGTAAAACACAGTATAATACTGCGCTTTCCTAAAATGCGATATTATGCTGCGTTTTACTTTAACGGCTAAATTTCCGTTAAACTAAAACGCAGTATAATACTGCATTTTAGTTAGAAAGATAATTTTTTTTTTAACTGTATAAAAGTATTTTGAGTCCCAAAACTCATTATTTAGATTTCGGTCATCTTTGAAAACCGAAAAAAAAAAAAAACCACTAGAAAACAAAAGGAGAGATGGAGAAGGGGATGTGGGGCGTTGGGACAGGAAGTTGAATGTGTAACAAATGGAATAATTAGGAAAGGTCACATCAATGTCACGAGACTTCTTTAATTTGCCTCAATTTCCCTACCCCACTTCAATCCTTTTTGTAGTATAATCATAATTTCTCTACCAAAAAAATGAAAGAAAAAACTGAAATGCTTCATATTGATGGATAATCAACAGATTCACAATAAATATATGACATCAATCCGTCTAACGCAGAAATAAAGAATCCTCCAAATCTACTTACTATACTTTGCCTCCGCCTTCGCAGCCTCTTCTCTTGGGCGATTTTTGTTTCCTTCCCTTTCGGTCCCTGCGAAAAGCAGATTTAGAATTTAAAGTTTATGAATTTTAGAGCGATTTCGAATTATAAATATAGCAATAATTGAGTTTATAGTCAAATTTTTATAATTTTTTAATAAATTTTTAATACAAATACAAAATATGAAAAGCTACGGAGCTCACTAAAATCTATATGCTTAAGGTTAGATCTGCCCCTGGCCCTACATTATTCCACTTCCTCCCCCCTTCATTTCTATTTTCTAGTACCTCCCTATTGGTTTCTTTTCAGATTTAACTTTATATACAGTAATATCAAAGGCGGATGTTGAGTGCAAGTTTTGAGATTCATTTGAAATTAGTAGTTTGGCTCGAAGAGCATATTGTTATGAACTATCGAGGAATGAGACTTGAGTCCCACATCAGTACTACAAAGTGTTGATATGGGGTTTATATAGCCTTGGGCTCTCCCACCTTAATAGCTAGCTTTTGGGGTGTGGTTCTCCCTAGGTTGTATCAATGGTATCAAAGCCATCCACCACCCTCTGTGCCCATCGTGCCTTGGATGGTGACGTCGGTATTGCACTGTTCGCCCGGGGCTAGAAATGTCTAGCGCACAGCCGTCGAGGACGATGGGTGCGGAGCGTGGTGGTTTGTTATGAGCTATTGCAAGGAATGGGACTTGAGTCCCACATCGGTACTACAAAATGTTGATGTGGGGTTTATGTGGTTCTCCTAGGTTGTATCACATATATATAAAGTTCACTAAATAAAAGTATAAATTTCGTACCTAATAAATCAAATGAGTTGTGATAGAATTTCTAGCCCGAACTCATAAAGTTCAAATTTTCTTGGATATGAAACGGACAGCATAGACACAATGAAAGTAATTTAACATGTTAAAGCAGGTTATCTACTTTACTTTTTTAGATAATTATTCACTTATAATGAGATTTATATATATCACTTCATTTGTTCTACTTTATATGGCAATATTACTGGTTGAAGAGTCAACGAGATTCTTCTTTACCATGATACCTTTAAATAGTTTAAATTATTAGTCATTGTTTTGATTTACAATATTTTATTTTTTATGTAATTTTTAAATATATAAAGTTTATTTTAAAAAAATAAAAATTCTATGTTCGATATCACAAGTTAAATAGTTTGACTTTCGTACTTCAAACTCCATTGTGTTTCATTAAAATGGCCTGATAGTGTAAAATACTTTTTTATATTGTCATTGTATAATACTTCTTTTGTCCCGATTTATATAGTATTCTTTCCTTTTTAGTCAATCTCAAAAAGAATGTTATATTTTCTTATTTAGAATAATTTATCATTAAAATTCTTACTTTACTCTTAGAAATAATTATCTACGATTTATTTTAGACCACAAATTAAATTATTTTTTTCTTAAATTTTGTACCGGGTCAAAGGCCGCCACATAAAATGGGGCAGAGGGAGTATAAATTAAAATAGGCAGAATAGCTTCCTGGCCACTTAAACTTGTCGGGTTCTTAAAAGCCGATACATAAACTTTCTACTTTCACATTTGAACACTCGAACTCATTTTTCACGTAACTAATAAACACATCTGACAAGAGACCATGCGCGCGTGTATTACGCATACACATAGGTGCCCATCTAGTCAGTAAATGACCAATGGATGTCTTATACGTCAAGGGCGTCAAAACCCTAACCCAACAGATCGGGGTCCCCTCTTTTACTCCATAGACCGACCCCCTCCCCTCATTTTAACCTCTCTCTGACCAAACCCTCCCCTGTTCATTCCCGGTTCTCCATGTTCCTCTGTTCACGCAAACTCTGCAAATTATCCGACCTAAACTATAGCTCCAAATGCCATAGCCTAGTGTAATTCACACACAAAAAAAAGATCCTATAAATTTGTTTAAATTATAGATTAATTTTGTTAAATTTTTTGTGACATTTTCAATCAATTAGCTTCAATTTACCCGTTTCAAAATCAAATTCTAGGGTTTTGAAATTGTTCATTTCATGTTATGGGAATTACCTATGATACTTTCACGTATTGGCCGCTCGCTCTCTAAGTCTTCTCGCTCCAACATTCAAAAAGGACTTGTTTATGGCGTGAGGTCAGCGGTGCTGGATGAACTTCCAAAATCGATGCACTCACACCCCCTTCCAAAATTGATCATAATCACTCACCCATTTTTTTTGTTTTCGTTTATTATTTGTTAATCTTGTTCTGATCGAGCTTCGTTTGATCCAAGTGATGCAAAACTTAGCTTCAACTCCACAATGACAAAATATATGACTTTTCATCATTTTTTGAGAAAAGAAAAAAAAATTAAAAATGGAGCTTTAGATTTTACAAGAAGGAGGAATGGAGCTCCTGATTTTAACAAATGGAGGAAGAGGGTATTTTAGAAGGAATAAATAAGAAAACACTTAAATACAACTCATTCTGTATTGTTGGGCGTTGTGAAGGGGGCTTTCACGCTCCTGTGCGTTGTGTTCCTCACGCGGCATGCTGATTAGGACCAATTGACGTCACATGGGCATGGTCAATGGTCAAATGTGTTTATTAGTTACGGAACAAAATGAGTTCGAGTGTTCAAATGAAAAAGTTGAAAGTTTATGTATCGACTTTTAAATACCCCGTCAAATTTAAATGGCCAGGAAACCATTCCGCCATTAAAATATGGTCTACCCACCCACCCACCTCCTGAAGGAAAAGGCCAAAACAGCAGTAACATCTTCAAGAGTCTTCCTTTTCTTCCGTTTGGCTTTATTGTCCACCTTCTTTATATGCTTGTCTCCTGCCCCTTCTTACTACTCCTCTCCTACTATATGCATTCAGTTTTTTTTGGCCATAAAAATGGAAGCTTAAAGATTGCCATATTATTCCTTTTCAAATAGGGTTACTTCTACTTAATATCATACCTCTATTCAGTACATACAAAATATACAAAAAAGTTGAACTCTCTGATATAGCGAAAAGGAAACTCAAATATATATTCTCAAAAAAAATATTGAACTGAAAGAAAAGATAGCTTTTACTCCACGAGATCCAAAAGCTTGACTTTCAGCTGTCAATCACAATAATCGAGTCAAAATATAAATATGCGCTGAAAGTTAAAAAAAAAAAAGAAAATAATTTGGGCAGGGAAAAGAAAGGTTTGACCGAAGAGTTCGAGGACATTGGCACGGAAACTTGAGGTACAAAACTTTCCTTCTCATTCTTTTTTTCCATTTTACTAAGTTTTTCTTAGTTATAATTAATAAAATCGAAATTTTGACCAATTGAAGTATCTTGTGAACGAATGAATCCAAGCAATATCTGATTAATTAATTTGCTAATATAACATCGTAATGAGTGAGACAATAGGTATTTACAAATATGAAGCTCTTACTTTCACATCGTCACGGGATCCGATAATCCCCACAATAACCACCCCAAGTTCCTTAGTAATTAATACGAGTATTATATTATAATATTCCCTCCGTCCCATTTTAATCGTCGTGTTTGCTCAAAAATATTATCCCAAAATAATTATCGCTTTAGGAATTGAAGATTAATTTATTACTTGTTTTCAACTATATCCTAAATATTAATGTAGTAGTAAACTATGTTATGTATTTTTATTTTTCTCAATTTGCGTGAAAAGAGCTAAAATGACAAATAAAGTACTTTCATTCTTGATGTGAGAGAGTATTATTTTCTTTCATTCTTAAACCCCTTATTAAAAAAATTCACTTAACCCTCTTAGATATATACTTTAGCTAGGTTGGTTTCTGGTTAGTAGAGAGTTTGGGATTATATGGAGAAAATTGCTTTTATATTCATGTAGAGACGTATATATTTAGTCTCTGAACTTTCTATTTCTGCTGCTCCTTTAATTTCTTCTTTCACCCCTTCTTTTTCAGTCATACGATAAATACAATAAAGTTTTTTGTAGGGATACTTCTGCTTCCTTTGGTTAAATTGCAGCAGCAAGATCCTGAAAGGGATAAGGAGAAAAAAAAAAGGTATATCATTTTCCTTCTCTTGGTTTGTACATTTCTTTTTCTCTCTTTAGGACAAAGATGATAGATATAGAGAAAAGTTAGAAATATAAGAGAAAAGGGTTAACTTATGTCAAGATTCAAGAATATGTCTGCAGTCCAATCTTCACCAAATTTCTGAGAAAATATATAATCATAAATTCCAATTGTGAAACTGTTAGTTACTTCAGGGGCAGTCCGGTGCACTAAGCATCCTGCGTTCACGCAGGATCTGAGGAAGGGCTGCACTCCAAGTGTGACGTAGACAGCCTAATGCAAGCATTAATACCTGCTTCTACAGTTCAAATCCGTGATCTATAGGTCACATGGAGACAACTTTACTGTTGCTCCAAGGCTCCCGTTCAAACTGTTATTAGTTACTTCAGTGTTCTATTTAAAACGTTACAACTTTTTATATTTCAAAATTCTCTAACTTTTAGTTTCTCATTTTATATCTTTAATGACATATTTTTATAAGTCATAATAAATATTGTAATGAGATGTTAATTAATTGACTAAGTTCTAAGTGTAGTGAAGTTGTGCGTCAAAATCTTTTTTTCCCCTTTGTTCAACTCTATGCTCAATCAAACATCATCAAATAAAATGCAATGAACGAAGTCGTACTTAGGCTTATTTATGAAGCATCACTCGTACTTCACTTCTAAATGATCCTAACTATTTATGTTGTTATTTCCAGGTACTAAAGAGAAAACGAAGAAACAAAAGAAGAGAAGTGTTTGTGCAAGCTAGCTATAATACTTGTGAATGGCTTCATCTTCTTCATCTACATTATCATCCTACTCACCATGTGCAGCATGTAAATTCCTACGTCGAAAATGCCAGCCAGAATGCGTGTTTGCTCCTTATTTCCCACCAGATCAACCCCAGAAATTTGCAAATGTTCACAAAATATTTGGAGCCAGTAATGTGACAAAGCTGCTCAACGAATTGCAGCCTCACCAAAGGGAAGATGCCGTCAACTCTCTCGCTTATGAAGCTGACATGCGCCTCCGCGACCCCGTCTATGGTTGCGTTGGCGTCATTTCGCTTCTTCAACACCAGCTTCGACAGCTCCAACTTGACCTTAGCTGTGCCAAATCTGAGCTTTCCAAATACCAAAACATAGGAGGTATCCAATTGTCTGACTACTTTATCTAAATGCTTAAGTTGTTAGACATGCACAATTTTATTTACTTAATTTTACATCATCAATACGAAGGGGAGCCTTGACGTAACTGGTAAATTGTTGTCATGTGACCAGGAGGTCACGGGTTCGAGCCGCGGAAACATCCTCTTTGTTGGGCTCAACCAGCCCAAATACACTCTTAACATGGTGTGATATTGTCAGCTTTGGGCCAAGCCCGCACGATTTTTCCCAAAAGACCTCACACCATTAAGAAATCCCTAGACATTATATATAGACTCCCAATCTTTTCAGCTACCAATGTAGCTCCCATATAATTTTACATTATATGTAGACTCTCAATCTAAGACCGTTGTTGTCCGGGCTTTCCTCGGCCCTCGCACATAGCGAGAGCTTAGTGCCAGTGGCGGAAGCAGAATTTTCGCTAAGGGGTTCAAAAATAAAAAAGTTAAAAAATTAAAAGAAATTGTGGCCAATAAGAATGAACTAGTGACCTCACAAAGTGTTTGAACCCCTTGACCACTAAACTATGCTTTTGTGTTGTGTCAAGGAGATTCAAAACATAATATATAGAGGTAAGTAATAGTTATTTTTGGCGAAGGGGGTTCGGGTAAATCCCCTTCCGCACCCTTAAATCCGCCCCTGCTTAGTGTACCGAATTGCCCGTTCAATTTACATCATCAGCGTAAAAATAGCACGGTCTAGCCAGTTTTCGGACTGGTCATTCAAAAATAGCCAGTGTTTACCAAGTCAATAAAAAATAAGCCACTATTTTGTTGCAACAAAGACCGGTCCAGCATAATATACTGGAGTTCGGTGCACCTGTGTATGAAATTCCAGCATATTATGTTGGAACTCCAACACACGGAAAGTTCCAGCATAATATACTGGAGATTCGAGCACTTGTGTATGAACTTCCAGCATATTATACTGGACCGGTATACTTTGCTGGAACTCCAGTATATTATGCTGGAGTTCTAGTGTACTTATGCTGGAACTCCGTCATATTATGCTGGAGTTCCAGCATACTTATCATGGAACTCCAGTATAATATGCTGGAGTTCAAGTATACCTATGCTGGAACTCCAGCATAATATACTTTGTTGGAACTCGAGTATATTATGCTGGAGTTCTAGTGTACTTATGCTGGAACTCCATCATATTATGCTGGAGTTCCAGCATACTTATCATGGAACTCCAGTATAATATGTTGGAGTTCAAGTATACTTATGCTGGAACTCCAGCATAATATACTGGCGTATTTTTCGGGTTTTCAACAGTGTTTTCGCTCAGATTTATCTTTACATGAAAAGTGGCTAAATTTCGATTACTTTTGAAACTGGGCTATTTTTGAACGACCACTTGTAAATCTGGCTATTTCTGAATTTCTTCCATCATCAGCACGTCTTCATGTGCGGGTCTAATATTTCAATAATGAAAATTGAATTGTGTGACCATTACTTATTAATTTAAAATTTAAAGTTAGTAAATGTAACAAACTTTTATTTATTTAATTATTTATTCAACAGGAGGCATTGCTAGTACGAACAGTTATAGCCTCTTGGCAGCAGGCAATCAGCATAATCTGGGGTTCAATTTTATGGGAGGAGGAGGGGGTGGGAGGCCGGACCTTAACCACCACCTCTATCACCATCAGTTTTTCCCCAGAGATCAGCAGCAACAACAACAACAACAAATTATACGAAGATTTGAAAGAGGAAGTAATAATTTTGGAGTTTGACTTCTATACAGTGAGAAATTATTTGTTTGAAGGTAAAATTATGTTGAGATTATATACATAGATTATAATATATTGAGATTAATAATTTCTGAATTATTCAGTACGTATGATCATCTGTTTATAAGTTCATTATAATGAAGAAAAAAAATTTATACAGTGTACAAGATTCTAAAACATATGTTTGCTTTTAAATTGAATAAAGTTTTGTTTCAAACTTTAACCTTGACCTTCATAACAGAAAGGCTGGGAGAAGGATAATTTAGTCATTTGTTATTTATTTAGGTTTTAGCTAATTCTTGAATTGTTATTCTACACTGGATTGGTATAAAATTATACTGGTATTACTTATGCCAAAAATAAAAAATACCCAAATTACAAAGCATGAGATATTCTTGTCCAATATTAGGTTTAAAAGATTATGTTCATAATCACGGTAACCAAATGAGCTCATGTAAAAGAATCTTTATATTATAATATTACCATTAAGATAACTATAGATAATAATGGTTGTAAAAAAACTATACTCTAATGAGAGTTCATTTTAATGTAACAGCAGCCGAAGTCAAATATAAGAGTTCATTTTACGTAATGTGAAGAAAATAGTTACCACTATAAACTATAATAATATATAGTTTATATCAAAGGCGTATTCAAAATTTTAAGCTTATGATTTCCTATAACAATCTCAAGTTAATCTCATAATAACTGGACCAACGAACTGGGTTCCATGCTATATATTCTTATATTTGTAATGAATTTTTAGTACAAATACAGGGTCTATGCAAAAGTTAATGGGTTTACGAGAACCCGTAATATTTGCTCTACATCCGCCCCTGGTTTATATGGGCTTATATAGTTGGTTGGTCACACACAGAGGCAGTCCTACCCTTAGGGTAGAGGGGTCATCGGTCCTCGGTAATTTCAGAAAAAATATATGTATATATCATTAAATATCATGTATTGTATATATTTTAATTGACACCCTAAGATTCAAAACTTAGGCAGTTGCATTGGTCAATTTGGATGGCATAACTTGACTTTCAGTGCCTAGGTTCGATTCCAATCCAGCATTGCTCAAATTTTTATTCGATTGTGCTGCCCCCGCCACATTTAAACCTTAGGTCCGCCTTTGGACTCACACATGAGAATCAGTACATCAAAGACATCCAAAAAATTGAAGCAAAAATAGGTCACAACCCTAAAGTTTAGGGATTACACAGATTCGATGTGTTGAGTTTGGGGCAGAGAGTGGAATAGTGACAGAGATACTCTTTATTTTAGTTTTTTCACCAAAAATAAATATTTTATGTTAAAGAAAAAACGAAACTTTAAAATCGCCCCAACTTCATATTCGAACCACTTAAAAGTCAAATTATGATAATCAATTGATTGAGGAAGGTAACATGTATCTCGTGGAACTAATCAAGGTGTGCGCAAGTTAGTCCAAACACCACGGTTTTTTAAAAAAAGATCGGTTGACAAAGGTAACATATATCTCATAGAACTAGTCGAGGTATGCGCAAGTTAGTCCAGACATAACAGTTATTAAAAAAAAGACCAATTGAGGACCTATGTAAAATCCACCAGTGAAGGGGTTGTTGAAGACATTAAGTAGTGAGGACAATGCACAATCAAAAAATAAAAACCAGAGACGTTTAAATGTTGGAGCATTTAAGGAGTAGTATATATTAGGGTTAGGGTTTTTCATTTCAGATAGCAAAAAAGAAAAAGAAAAAGGACATAATAGTCAGAGTGATGATGTACTAACGCAATGATGGTATTTTGCCCTTTTTGAAATGTAAATATTGTTGGCAGAGTACAGTCAACAGTGAGGGTGGTGGGTCTGTTTTCTCTCACACATCTCATAGTCTCACCAAGTATCCTACTCCATGCTTTTGTCGTTTTAGTATCTAAGATTTAAAATTTATTATTTTTATTGTAATTTTAAATTAATATACAATGATAATTGAGTTCACAATTAGATATTTATAAATATTTATTCTCTCTGTTTCAATTTAAATGAGGTAGTTTGACTCGGCACGGAGTTTAAGAAAAAGAAGAAGACTTTTAAAACTTGTGGTCTTAAAAGCTCAAGGGATAAAAGTTTTGTGGGGCCATGACATTTTTGTGGTTATAAAAGCTTCTCATTAAGGGTACAATAGGTAAAATGAAGAGCATAAAGTTGAATTATTTCCAAATTTAGAAATGTGTCATTTATTTTGGAACGGACTAAAAAGGAAAGTACCTCATCTAATTTGAAACGGAACGAATAGTTGATTTTTATTAAAAATATAACGTGTACTGATGATAGGCTATAATTACGTATTTTAGTCGCTTTACACTCTAATTTACTGCACTTTAATTGAGTTTGCGCTTTAATCGCTAGTGTTTTGCACTAATGGTGTATTTTATGCCTTGTAGGAGTGATTCCGAGCTATATAGATGTTATGGAATGAATTTAAGTGATTTGAAGCTTTGAAGTCTGAGTAAAAGCTCAAGGAATTAAGCCGGGATCGTGTTCGGGGGTCAAATTTGATAATTAAGTACGAACGAAGACTTGAGGAGGCATATTGCGCACTGTCTAGTAAAATAGACATAACTTTTTGCTCAGAACTCCATTTGGGCTCTACAATATATGGTT